GTAAGGTTTTGTTCTTTTCTTTTCTTAAGCTGCTCCCATTTTTTTAAGTGTTACACACACACACACACACACACATACGTAGACTTACATCATTGGAATTCCTTTGAGGTTTTAAATTAACTTGTTTGTCAAAAAACAAAGTCTGTGACATTCCTGTGATTCTCTTTAAGTCAACTCGCACTAGAGGGGAGGTACGGTTGAGGCTGCAGGGCAACAAGTTCTGTGTGTGTGTGTGTGTGTGTGTGTGAGTGTGTGTGCATGACCTAGAAAGTATGGTGAATGCAGTGAAGGGGGTGAGGGCTACAGTGGGCCCACAGCTAAATCGGGGCCAGGCCACTCCCTGTCCCAGCTCTATTCACTCGGCCGGCCGCTTCAGACCAGTTTGAATGCGTCACTCGCCCCATCTTCCTCTGTTACCCTTTCAATAACACTCTTTTTGCCCATTGCCTTACCTCTTCCTCAACACATTATTTGTCACATTTAGCGCTTCTTTTATCCACCCACCTCTAACTTTGCTTCTCACATCTCACGTTTTAGCTGTTCACTGCTGCTGCCTCTGATCAAACAGCGCTCCCTCTTCCTGCAGATGTGTGCCAAGCCTCAAGCTACGAGCCAGTTATGTAAGAAGAAAATGTTTTTCATCTTGACTTCTTCATATGTTTGTTATTCTTGACTGGCTTCGAGTACCGGCGTACTTTTCCAAGAAAGCAGTTCCTTTTTTAGAAACACTCTGTTCTGTTTATGTCATGATGGTTCCGAGGAGACCTCGTAATGAGACCCTCGGTAAACGCTCGCCTTCAGGCCGGTGAGCGATAAACAAGTTGGTCATCTCAACACCAGTGTGCATCAGGGCTACGCATGCACGCTGCGTGTTCGCACGTTTGTGTGCACAGGTGTGTTTGCTCAGAAGCTGCAGGTGCAGGTGAGAAATGGGTCGGTCGGCAGGTCTGCTGCCCGAGTTTGCGCCTCATTTGCAAACGGCGCCGTTCACCAGACACCCGACGAAGATTGTAATGACAGACGCACATTTGTGGAGCATTTGAGTTTCCTCGACTCGGCTGTACTTTCCAGGGAATTCTTCCGTCGCATTACCCGGAATCCGACCTGGCGTCGCAGGCGTCCTGGAACCTGCCCCAGAATACCTGCTAGGAGCTTCTAGTCTGTCATCTTGGACACAAACCAGATCTCTGCAGCCCTGTTTACCCTACTGATCTGCTCTCTCATCATTCGTTAACTCTCCATCTCCCTCCCCTCCTCTCCTCTCCTGCTCCACTAAACCCTCTCCCCCCCCCCCCAGGCTGCGATCCAGGTAACACGAGAGCCCTGTTTTCTGCTCTGTTTGTCAAGACCATCTCTGCTGCCAGAGACAAACAAGGGTGACACGAATGGAGCCCTAACCTTCCATCGATCCACCCTCCAGCGCACTGCCTCTGTTTGCTTCGCCTTCTCTCCTCCCTCCCTCCCTCCCTCGCTCCCTCACACTGACCTACTTTCCTCCTGACCTGTTTGTGCAAGCTGCTCTGGCGCAGCAGCCGCTCAAGTCAGATCAGGGAAACGGGGGGCGCAGCAAAACGCTGCCGGGGCTTTGCCGTGCCTCGCAGGGAGTGTCACCCTGGCATCCCACGGGTGCTACAAAAGGGTGGCTACTCCGAGGAATTTAATGTTTACCGAGCATCTCCAAAATCTTACGGGTACAAAATGTGTTTTTTTCTTTGTGAGGGAATGTGCATCGGTATGTGTGTGTGTGTATGTGTGTGTGTGTGTGAGAACATTGTGAAGGGCATTGATGCGTCGGCCTCAAAGAGCCGCTTTGTTTGCGAGCTTAGATCAAGTTAGTGCACTGGGTTAACTTCCCTCCCCTCCTCGCCCCCTTCTCACTGCTCCTCCCTTTGTCTCGGTATGTACATGACCCCGTTTTTGGGTTTATATGAGGGAGGAAGAAAGTAAAATGGATTAAAAGATAAACTTTAAGTGCTTACTCAATAATCCACCCATTTTCGGGACCAATTATGTAATAGAACCAGTACAATTTCACACGGTGTATCAAGAAGGCAAGATATCAGATTATTGAATATTGACTTCGGGGATCTAACTATTCATATACAAGCTGTATAATCTGCCTAACAATATGGGACCATATAGCCTGTGAGTGTGGACTTTGATAGCACAGCAGGCTTTTTCTGCAGTGGGACAGTCGGAGGCTCAGACTGGCTCTGTCCCGGCTTTGTGCCGTACATCACGCAGAGCCGACTCTCTCAGATTTATTGATATTCTATCGATACCGAGACATGAGACCAGATATCGACTTAGATTTTGGATATCTTAATATGGCGAAGTGTTGTGTTTTCATTGAGTGTGTCATTGAGAAGCTCCTCTCGTTGCAGATTAGCTTCTGGTGCCAAAAAAACAACAACTAGTTGCCCACGGGGGAACGGTAAGCTCTACACCAGGGCTATCTCTGCACAATGGAAACAGGTTGTGCCTCTGAGGTTTTTGCCTTCGTTTTTTGAGAAAAGTCAAAAATGAGAAGCAGCAAAAACCTTACAGGAAACAGGAGCATGTCCTTATATAACATGGCATACTGTTAAATAATCTAATTGTCCTCAAGGTAATATAAAATGAAGATTACAACCAAGGACGGTCATAATGCTGCATAGCCCTAATTTATTCTGTCTGGTTACTGATGGTGATTCATTGTCTTATGTCAATCAGTGACTAGTCAGTAATGCATTACCTAACTGGTGGTTCTGGCACAAGGCTTATAGAGCGTGATCGCGAGTCGTGCTGCCAGTTCGTACACGTTGCCCACAGACTGCGATTGCTGTGTTGACTGTGTCATTGCTCTTAGACAGACGGCTGCTCAGTTGAATGTTAGCGTTGCTTTGCGGGCTGTAAAAGTCAGTTGATGATTTGGTTATAAGTGTGTGTAACATCCTATCGGGTGTCACTGTGTCGAACCACACTGAAAGAACTGGGAGAATAACAGGCCATTTTCATGATATGTTGATCAGGTCAACATTGTTTTTATTTTATTTTTTCGATCTTGAAATGCTTTCATCTTCCACAATGAACATTAGTGTCTTTACATACATATTCATGTCAAAAGGAAGCGATGGTAATGACCGACCAGACCATCTCTAAACACCACACTACCTTCGCCTGTTTTTTCTTCCTTTTTTTTCTTTTCTCTCCTCGTCTTTTTCATAAAACCATCAGCAAAACCACAAACATTACTGATGAATACACACTGAAAAAAGGTGGCAGGGGGGGGGGACAATGAGGCAATTACATGTCATCACAGTCAATAGGAGAAAAGACACAGTATAGAGAAAACAGATCAACACCTCGACGAAGAAACAAAGAGGATACAAACCCAATGAAATAAACATTACAGTGTTGTTCGAGGGTTGGGGGGGTGGGGTGGGGGGGACTTTACATTTATACACAAGCACCAAAAAGCCAAACGTGGTACATAGACTTTTGCTAAACTAGGATCCAACGCAGGCAATTCATCGCTGTCCAGTAGCAGAGCTACCATGAGAAAGGGATGAATACCGCCTGAAGTGATTAATGGAGGCACGCGGGAGACAAGGGAGGCCGTCTTCTTCGTTCATTTAATCTCAGATTGTTGCGGGGCAATTTCAACCCTGGCACAAATTGGAGGATTTTGAGAATTTTGGTTTTGCATGAGCTTTAGTTTCTCAACAGCTCATCTATCTGGGAGCCAATGCGGAGGGGTTGTGCTTGGTCGCAAAAAAACCATGTGTCATCTCAATCAATGTACAGTCATTTTTCTTGGGTCTTTACACAAGCGGGACTCGTTCAGAACTGCGCTGTAGTGTGTTTACATGAATGGGACCTCTACTCCTCCCCCCCCGAGCATCCCATACCTCCATTACAGTTCAAGCTCAAAGCTGCAGGATGCATCTCAAAAAGGTCTGTACACATTCTCCCGTCTATGTCCCTGTGGGCTTTTCTACAGTGAAGAGGAAATAAATACAACGGGCCGGTGAATGGTAACGACAACAAGATATGGTTGATAAAGCTCAAATAATGTAAAGGCCTGTAGCCTGCAGCTGGTGAATTTCACCGTATAGTTAAAGGCTGGTTAAAGGTTAAGTAATCCAAACATTTTAATGAGGCCCTCCCCTCAGGAAACAACGTGTTTTCCATTCAGTGCTGTTGGCGCACCAAACCGGACGGCCATTTCTGTGTAAACACGGCATTAACAAATGATTAATGCTAAAGCTTAACAATCAAGAGAGAGGCGTTTTCTTTAATTCTAGTGGGTCCTGTAGCAACAGTGGACGACGTGGTTGTATGTTAATTGTGATTCATAATAGGATGGTCACTTTCAAAAACCCTCTTTTTACCATTGCAGGTGTGTCGCGCTTTACGTTGAATTTGTATTCAAATTTCTTTGTAAAATATATATTTATAATAGATACATATATTCATATATCACAGTAATATACAAACCAAGTGCTTTAAAAAATAAAGGTGACTGCGATCTTTCGTGAACTAATGGAGATGGTTGGGGAGTGTATGGGTTGGTAGAGGTAGGGTCTGGGAAGAGGTATGGAACTCGGTGTTTGTAGTGTTGGTGCTTCTTTGGTCGAGGGAATGTCCCCAGTGTACGTTTGCATTAGATTAAGGCAGATAGCCACACGTGTATGTTTGTCTACGGTCGGATATGTACCAAATTTGTAGTACTGATAAAGCTCAAAACTTCTCCTTGTCCTACATTCTCGTTTGTGATCTAAATGTCAATGTGCTCTGCTGTGTTTTTGTTGGATGACAAAAGTAGAAAAGCAGGTAGTTCCATTCCTCCTCTCATCACATAAAAAAAAGTGCTTCTGTAAGTATGGAGAGGATGTAAGAAATGACAAATCTGTACAATATATACAAATATGATACAGCCCTACAAGATGTCCAGCCTTTTTGGTGACGTTGGGGATAAGGAAGTAGAGAAGTCCCAAGGGCTTGAGGAGGGGGTTTGATTATAGGGTAAAGGCATGATGGCAGGGTAGTTCAGGGTAGTTGGAGGAGACATTGTCTTTCACCTAATCTCGCCTCTTGTTTCGTCGTCCTTCCGTCTCCTTTTTCCCGCTCTCCGCCCTGCCCCTCTCCCCTCCAGCGGGGCTCTCTCGCATAACGTTCTGCTGCGGCGTGAGTGACAAGTAGGGGTGCTGGGGCAGGGGAGGCGGCGTGGCAGACGGAGGGGTCGTCGGGGATTCCTGGCCGGAGCAGTTGCCCCCGCTGCTCCCGGTGCTCATGGCCCGGTGTTTGAGTCTGAGTTTGTGGGGCAACGCTGTGCCCTTCACCTCCCCCTGGGGATCCCGGCCCTGGGCCTGAGAGCAGCCCTGGGAGGAGGGCAGAGTCGAGGCAGGATGGTGGAGGCTGGTAAGATGCTGGCTGTGGTAGCTGCCCAAATCTGAGCAAGACGAGGAGGGGGACTCCTCATCGTCCGTGGACGCGTCTTTATCAGAGCTGTGGTGATCTCCATCGCTGGATGACGTGTCCTTGGTATTTGATTGGCCTCGGTAGTAAACCTCGCCCCCGTGCCCGCCCTCGTAGGTGAGCACAGGTGGCTCCTCGTCTTGGGCACTGAGGTATGAATGATGGGGCTGCTGATGAGGGTGGTACAGGTAGGAGTGGTTGACCCCCTCCACTTGTTTGTGGAGGATCTCTGCAGACGAGTCTCTCTCCTGCTGGTGCTGCTCCTGCTGCAGGTGCTGCTGGGAAGGTTGGCAAACTCTGTACCCCTGTCTCTCTCCAGCCTCGTCACGGCTGTCTGAGAGCTCATATGGAGGGGAGTCTAATGTCTTCCTCTCCAGCTGCTTCGTCACCTCAGCCAGTGTCTCTGTGGAGCTCTCTGTAATATACTGGGGCAGCCGACTGGCACAGGTCTGGCTGCTGCCGCCGCTCTGCTTCTGGCCTGCCGGCACATCGATGTCCTGGTGCCTCGTCAGGGCGTCCACAGGATAGGAGGCGCTGCTGGAGCCATACAGAATGACGCTCCTCTGGGCAGCGGGTGGGTGGGGGGCAGGCTGGCTGACGGTGTTGATAGCAGTCGCAGGCTCCTGATGGGGTTGTTGTTGTTGTTGATGGTGGTGGTGCTGCTGTTGGCCGTGATATGCGGCCTCCAGATCCTGAGAATGCTGCTGGATCTGGTGGTGAGTGGGCACCGAGGCCAGACCACGTTGGATATTGAACATGATCTCGGTGGTGGTGCCGCCATTGGCGATGTCCATCTCCAGCCTATCGCCCTCCTGTTTGATCTCGAAAGGAAGCGGCTCAGGGGTGTCCCTGGAGGAACCGTCGGACATGTCGGAGAGGGAGCCACATGGGGAGTATTTCACCATCTCCCTGTGGCCCTCGCTGCGTCCAGACTGCTCAGTTTCTGAGGAATCGGAGTTCATCATCACCTGAGAACCGCTGGAGTAACCGCTGGAGTAGTACTGGGTCGAGGAGGAGGACGAGGAGGAGCCTCCATTTGCCGTGTTGCTGCTTCCGCCCAGCTGCTGACTCTTTTCAATGTAGGAGGCGGTGCTTATGAGGCCAAAGCGCAGCTTCAGCTGGAGCAGCTCGGTCTTGAGCCTCACGTTCTCATCGTTCAGGGCCATGACACGGTTCTCCAAGACCATATCATTGAGACGTCGCTTCTCCCGGGAGCGCTTGGCGGCCTCGTTGTTTTTGCGGCGTTTCTCCCAATAGCAGGCGTCCTTCTTCTCATCCGAAATAAACTCGCGCTTTCGCCTGCAGCTCATGCTGGGTTTGGACTTGCCGAGGCGGCCCATGCGAGTCGGACTCCCTTCGGCCGAAGGAAGAGACTCCTCATAACTGCTGAAGGTCTCACAGTTATTATTCTCAGAGTTTTTGTTTAATGTTTTAAGAGCTGACGTCAGATTTTCCATTTTGCAGCCAGTTTGAAATGGTGTTTTTTTGAGGAAAGTACCAGGTCAGAGGTCAATGGGGAGGGGTGCCAAAAACAACCTTGAAGGTTCTCTCGCAAAGTTCTTGTTCTGCTTATTGCAGTTTCAGTGCAGTCGTGACAGGAGGGGACTCAAGTGTCCAAAGTAGCAAAAAAGACGTAGCTCAGCATTAGTAACCCTCATTTATTCACTTGAAGGGGTTTGGTGCTTCAGTGTCCAGACTCTTCACAGATCCTAAGTGGATCAGATCAGTCTTAGAAAAGCACAAATTTCTTTTTTTTTCCTCTTGCTTTCCCGCTGTTGGTTGTCAAAGCTAGGCTGGCGGAGAAGTGTCCTAGATCTCCACGTAAACGGTAGGATGTAGGTCAGCCCGTCTACCTCGGAGTGTCAGTCTCTTGGGGAGCTTCGTTCTTGCTCCGTCCGTCTGTCTCTCTTCGGTTGACTGCTAGATGAAAGGCTGCAGAGATAAAAGAAAAAGAGAAAAAATACATATTAATCCATGTGGACTGCTGGTGCACCATTATGCATTCTCATAGCAGACTCAAAATGATTTATTCTGAGGTATTTTTTGTCATTTCTGTTGTTTTCAGCGTGCATAGTGATCAAAGACTCATCCGTACATCCCAGCAGCTTTCCTCTGCTGTTTTGGCACGTCTGGCTTTAAACCGCGGTATCGCCGCTGGCAGCTAATGAATGGCCGCTGGACCTCCCCGTCTGACCTTTTGGCCCCGCTATTGATCTGCTCTGTCTGCAGCCTATGACCCCTGACCTTTACCCCGGCATGTAGATGTTGACTTTGGGACGTAAAGAGGGCATTGAGTTTGTTGCGAGGCGGATGACACCACTTCATCTTATCACCCAGTAGCTATAAAAGCTTTCAGTGTGACTTCTGAAACATGTGGAAATGTCTGAGCCCACATTTAGTTTTTTTTGGAGGCTGCAGAAATCCAAACTAAAAGACTAATGGCAACTGAGGCAAGTGCACGCATGAAGTTAATGATAACATATTGCAACGCCGCAGAAATTGCATCAGTCTGACACATGCTGAGAGTACAGAACTTGACTGTTTAAGGATTAGCTCTCTTTGTTTGCCTGAGGAGTATTTTGGCCCAGAGGGTGAGTCAGACGCAGAAGCTGGTGGGGATCCCTGGATACATTTTAGAACATTTCACATTAAAAAAAAAAAACCCTACATGAGTGACTACCCACTGCTTTTCCACTGACACACCCCATCCACAAACACTGCTGAAGCCCCCCCCATCCCCCACCCAATGCGTTTGTCCTCAGAGGAATGTGGCAGCATTCTTCGCCAGAAACAACTCCAAAGCCAAATCAATGATGCGGAGTGAGCAGATAAGGCAGACAAAGGCAGCGAGCCGGCGCAGGTCAAGGATGAAGAGGCTGAGACCGGGGGACGGATTCGGAAATGCGGGGGGGCAGCTGCGAGGTGGGGCACCGACAAATATAGGTCAAGACCTCCTGGAAAGAAAGGGGAGGGGGGGAGGGGGCGTGGCGAGACACGGGCAGGATGAACTCAGCCTGTTAACATTTTGGGGTGAAACGCGAGGGTGGTCTGAAGTCTCATAATAAATACGGAGATGGGCTCCTCAGAGCTCGGACACAGCAGGGAGTCCTCCGTAATAAGCCGAACAGGTGTTCATTATCAGGGCGTAACACCAATTACTGAGCAGGACAGAAAAATGCTCGTTTTAAATGCTGGATGGCAACTCCAGATTCAAATATCTCAACCACTACAGTAAAGAAACATTTTTCTAATTAGGTCCCAGCTATAGTTTGTGCTTCCGCGTGACATAATAACAACAAACAAATGATATCAAACTAACAAAAGCGGATTGGCAAATTGACTGGACTGAAGTACGTGTGTTCAGTAGATCCCATCTGTTTTTACCAGCCGCAGTGTAAGTGCGTCTGCGCTCCTTGATAAGCGCCATTACACTGTCTGAATCTGTAATCCCGTAATCTGGCATGGTTGTTTGCACTGTTTATACTCTGCTCTTCCCAGGATCTGACACCATTACGTAACTGCAGGCGTATCCTGCCAATGAATATGAATTTGAGACCCAATTCTTAGAATAAAAAACTGTATTTTACCTCTATAATGCAGACAATGAAAAAATGCATCTCCAAAGAATCAAATCTAACAATCTACATCATACACACTAAATATTTGTCTGTGATTTATTTATTATCCTCCCGAGCCAAAAAGAAACCGATTAAGACTTTTTTTCCTCAGCGTGTCCCACTGACCCAGAAACTGGGGACCGACTGCACTCTGTAAACACAAGTCTGAGCGGCATGACCCGCCACAACATATGGGTCAGCCGAGCCGCGGAGAGGTGAAGCGGGCGAGAGACGAGGGAGGGATCAAAAAAAAAAAGACAAAAAAAGGAGCCGATAAAAAGAACAAAGAGGCGCTGAGAATTAGAGAATTTCCTGAATATAGACGGAGGTGAGAGCATGTGAAGCGGAGACAAAGACAAAATCAATGAGGGAGAGTTAGTTAAAACAGATGGAGAATAGATTATACTGTAGCTGGATTTGGGGGGGACAGTGGCAATTCCGACAATGTTGGTATTGCATCAATAGAAGGGATGTGTCACCCATAGCAACAAAAAAAAAGGGGGAGAAGGTGGGTGGGTGAGGGCAGCCAATCATATCGGACTCTCTCTCCCTTCCCTCAGAACCAACGTTCTGTGGCAAAAGGAGACTTGATTGACGTCACCAGAGCGCGTGCATGAGCCTGGCACATGAATGAACTCTGGTGTTTAATGAAGTCACCTCGCAGAATTCCACCACGTGAATGAGCGTGAATCACACTGACCTACATCGCGCGCGCGCCTCCTCCTTTACGGTCCGTAATCCGTTTCATTCACTCTCTTTGTCGCCAAAATTACAAAGGCTGTACTCAGGGGGGTTTAGAGCGGAAACACGGCGAGTAAATCCCCGGCGGGCCAAGTTAAAAATGCAGCCCCCCTCCCCAAAAAAAATTGTGCATGCAACAACAATCCCGCTGAAGCGAGCGGAACCCACAGTGCATTGCAGCAGCCGCTCCTCAGCTCGGTGCTCCGTGACCTAGATACTCTTTCCGATCCATCATGGTTCTTCACGTGTCATCGGTCGGTCTCTGTGGCATTTGTGGAATGATAGCGCAGTAAAAAAGGACTCGCTCGCAGAACCACAAACCGCATGGGCACCGCGCCGCAAGAGTCTAAATGTAGCGATGAGCTCTGGAAACGGTGGATGGAGTTCTAACACCCCCCCCTCTGGCACGTGTTTGTGTGGAGCGTTTCAGGAAATGGGAGCAGGTCTAAAATAAATAGGGATTCTTCTCCCCTCCCCTCATGGGAATAACGCAATGTATGGCACGTGGTGCAGGGTTTGGGGGTCGTGGGTGGGGTCTGCTTTAATTCCAAGTCTGAAGGGCTGAATTTATCTTTCCAAGAAAAAGAAAGACGACAAGGGGAGAGGGGGGTGAGGTTAGGAAATCAGGCAGCACGCCAGCAAGGCGGAGTCCCATCCAGCCTATCCTTGTTCCATATCACCCTCTCCAAAAGGGGGAGAGAGACTAAATAAATAAAAGAAGAGATGAGTGGCCTCCATGTGTTGCAGCAGTCCCATGTGCTCCCTTGGCCTACTAAACGCTGTAATTCTCTGCGCTGGCCCCAAAACCGCAGCACAAAAACAAAGCGCGGCCCTCACAGTTTGATCGTCTGACATGTGCCAGGAAGCACAGGGAAAGTCAGGAGGGCCACAAACTGCCCCCCACGCGCTCTGCACCATGACAGGGGACAGGGTTCCATCAAACCTAATTAACGGCACAAAAGTTTCCCAAGCAATTAGGTGATGTAATTGGCTGTATATTTAAAAAGGGTGTATTTGTTATCCTTGTCTTCTCTTTCTGCACGCCAGCCTCTTTCTTTGTTGTGGTGGTGCAAGGGTTTATTTTGTTTTTTGTTTTTTTATTACCCCCCGTAGGACTAATGTGACCTACATTCATAACTGGCATAGAGACCCAGTGTGCGCAGCGCCAGCCAATTGGAAGCGGCCGCTCCGCACCGCAGCGAAGCGCAGGGTTCATATAGCCACAGACTATATGTGTGTGTGTTTTGTTTTTCGCCGATTGCATAATCTGCCCCGCACTTTGATCCGTTTTAATTATTTAATTCATGTATTACGCAACCCTCTGCATAAGAGCTCTTCGACGTACCCAGCGCGGTACGCAGCAGCGACGGATGCGGCACACGTGCACACTTTGCAATGCGTATCAAGTCTCCATGCCCACGTGCAGTGCATGAACCACAAAGCCGGTGTGGAAAATGAATTATTATTGTTTTGTCTTTCAAAACAAAACGTAAAACATCCCATAAAACACACCGATTTGCCTGTTTTTAATATTATTGTATCACCTGTGTCCCATGTGTCTCAGTAAAGACACCGTCTCCACCACTAATGAGACAATGCTGGACTGCAAGCAAACTGAGTTTAACAGGCGCGTTCAAGTTCAACAGAAGGTTGTGTGTATGGTTTAATTCCGCTGGTTAAAACAACATCAACACATTGCATATCATTCACAACACATTGTGAGAAATCTGTTGCCGCCGCGTGCCTCCTTTGTTGCTCCGTCTGACAGATCCTATTCATGCATATTTAATCGCAGCCTCAGTCATCCGAGGCGACTGCAGGAATCTATCTGTGCTGCAAAATATTAACCCCCCCCCCCCCCCCCCAAAAAAAATAAACACGATCTACACATTTTCATTAAAATAAACACCTCTCTCTATTAGCTGTCATCTGAGCCGCTCCCGGAATAACAGCAACACGTCTGACCCACATTTGATCCAGATGTTCTGATCCACACCTCACCTGGCAACACCGTTCTTTATCCTTTTTTTCCTTCTTCTATCAAGTCCGAGCCGAGGTCGTTAAAAGAAAAGTCAAAGAAGTAATAAAAAAAAACACAAAAATGTCCACATGTGTATCCAAGAGGATGGATCCGGTGCGCTCTGGAACGCGCGGCTTCTCCTTCAGACTGCGAAGAGCCAACTAAGAGGTTAACGGAGAACTGCCAGCCGCGTTAACCTTTACAGAGAGCTGCTACACGTGACATGGAGAAGCGTGTCCTCAGTGCCTGCATGGGAGTTTTTATTGTTTTATTTTAATCTCCCTCAGTTGTCTGTGTGGACTACTAACCCAAAAGAAGCTGGGTATTAAAAAGTCCAACAACATATAAAGGTGACCCTGAACGTTACTGACGCAGGATATTCTCCTTCTGTAGCCTAATAATAATAAAATAATACGAACAATAATTACCCGAAAGCTTATTCGCCCACTAAACAGAATCTGGGATAAACGTACTAAACGGGCCCCTGAATGCACCACAACAACCCGCGAATACACGCACCGTGAACACAGCAGCGCGGATGCGTTGATCCTGCCTCATTACCACTGTGGCACCGCTTCAAAAAAACATCCACATCCGCCTCCGTGCGTTTCCAGCAAGCCCACCGCACCTTTTTTTTCTTTCCTGAAGGAATCCCGAAACCTTGCGCTATCCCTAACCACACACCCCCTCGCCCCCCCTCCCTCATCCACACACAGAGACCCTCACACATTCTTCAGAGGGGGGGGGGGGGGGGGGGGGGTGCTGCAACCTCGCCTTGACATTGAGAAAATGCCCCCCAAGCACCAAAACAAACACTCGTGGTGCTAAAGCAGAGATGGATTTCTTCACACCAACGCAAGATATTGAGAGAGCCCGGGTATCACACTCCGCATCACATATTAACGTAACAATGCCGTTATGAATAATAATAACCAACTTACCCTTTTTTATTTTTTTGGTCTTTAAAAAAAAGGGACAGAATCCACAGAGGACACAGATTTCACGTCCAAACAATCCGCTCTTTTTGCGCACCGGCTGCCGTCCGTCACTTTCCAAAAATCACCAGCTCTCCGATTAGCGCAGGTACACGCGAGAGTGCGAACACACTGCCGCTTGTTTGCAGTGCGCTCCTCATGTCATGTTTGCTCCGATTCCTCTCTCTCTCCCTCCCTCCCTCCCTCTCTCTCTCCCTCAGAGTCTCTGAATGTATGTTAGTAGGTCAGTTGTTGCATAACAGGACGCTTTGAGTGCCTAGTCACGTTTTTTTGTTTCTCTCTGTGCTCTGCTCCCTCCCTCCCCTCTCTCTCGCCTTCAAATCCTGTTGCATGGGAGGAGATGTGATGTGGAGGGAGCCTAGGGGGAGGAGAAAGGGCCTGGAGGGGGAGGGACTTGGCTCACCGCCAGACTCAGTCATGAACATAAGGTTACTATGACAAAAGACAAACTCTAAAAAAGCAGCGCAAACTCACACACACACACACACACTCTCACAACCGGTGTTTTTGAACGAGCATATTCCCGTCTTTTGTGCCGATAGCAGACTTTGTCTCACGAGACTTTCTGAGTAACTGAATGTTTCTTTTTTTCTTCTTCCACATTAGTTTCCTCTGATGATGTAACGCCAGCAGCCAGGTAGCGTAACTCAGTCCTCTCATCCAACCGCCTGTAAGAAAGCAAGCGGCCCATGAACAGTTCCCCTAAATGTCCAACGGTTCTTTTAAGGGCCTCACGTGTCCCCTAGTTGTCCTCCGGGTTAAGGCCTGGACGGTCCATGTACGCCTAGCTGTGGGAAGTATTTTCTTAAGTACTGTACTCTAGAATTACAATTACATTCATGCCACGTTATACTTCTACTCCACTATATTATATAGTCAGACAAGAGTAGGTATAGGTACCACAGGTTACTTTAAAGAGATAGATTTTACACACATAACACAGTTTTAAAATTACATGACACCCAGCAATACGGCCCGGGCCTCCAGCAGCGTGGTGGTGTCGGTATCAGGTCCGGCGGAGCAGCTCTGCTCCTGGCAGGGGCCGACGACAAGCATTAAGAATAACTATATATTCTACATCACGTTCTGGTTTACTTATGTCATACAGAGACGTCTGTATTCAACCGAGACTGTTACATAACCAGTTAAAAGTCCCTCACCGTCACTTTAAGGCAAGAGGTGTAATAATCAAACAATAATGTAACGCACAGGAGGAACATTGTCTCTACATGTTGCATGTTAAGTTAGAATTGTTTTTGATATAAATCAATTTGTAAAAAAAATTAAAATGAGACTGAAATTACTTCAGGGAGATATTTTTTTAGTTCTCGTATGTTTTGTAAGAAAAACAACCAACAATAACAATAAAGTAGCTGAAATACTGAATCAAAGTTCCTCAAAATCAAACACATGAGTTTAAGTGACATGTTTCTTCCTGCCCCCCCCCCCATTTTTTGGGTTCAGCGGCGGTTACAGAAGCTCGCCCGGCCCTCGCTGCGTCTGCTGTCGAATTCCCACAATAAGCCGAATTATTTTTCCTGCCGCACGGCGTCTTAAGTAAGCTGCTTTTTGGCCGGAGTGCAAAGATGTTATGTAACGAGAGAGAGACAAGAGAGAGAGAGAGAGAGAGAGAGAGATTTGATTCATCTCGGAACACAAGGCAAGGAATGCGTGTCGTGTTGGCAGGAAGGAAAGAGGCTCACGGCACCGGCGGGGGGGTATTTGTTATGTCACTCTGATTTATACACTGTGTATTTGGGTCGGAGAGCAGAATAACAGTTCAATGGCTATCTATCTATCTGTCACACTGGCATGGCATGACTGGTGTCAGAGAGTGTATTTGGACGAGAGCCATGCACTTCGTGACGGGTTCTACGTGTTTCTTTTGGGGGGGGGGGGGGTGGCAGCTCCCATTTAGTCTCAGGGAGGAAAGCGACACATGAGCTGCTGCTCGCTTCTGCAATGTGGACGTGCAGTTTGGATTGTCAGATAGCCATCATCCTCCATCAGACACCGGGATGGAAACAGTAGCTCAGTCAATGTGTGCTACACTGGGGGGGTCCTAAGTTCCCTTAAGGCCTGCTGAGGATGTGTTCATTGTCTCCTTCCATACCAAAGGCCCTGCTATGTTTTTCATGGCCGTGAAAGTCGCGTGAGCACACAGTTGTATATTTCGGTTGGTGAATACAAAAGCCTTAACTGCAGCAATTAGTTTGTTTAATTGGATTGTTTTGTGTCCTTGAAGGAAGTTAAGGACTTTTCACTTTTGATTCAGCGGTAATTATTTGTTCTCGTCATTGTTTGAGCACAACCGTCTCAACTATGCCAAGTGGCCGATATTTCATTTCTATTTTATTGTTCTCTGACGAGCACTAATAACGCCTATAAATTAGCCCAGATTTGTGAAGTTGCTTCAGCTCATCTTTAAAAAAAAAAAAGTAAATATGTTTTATATACATTCAGCATCCACGGCACGCCTTCGTCCCGTCACACTGCATCACCAGAGGGCGAACTCCCAATGCGGAGCCTCCAATGTTGAAACTCCCACCTGCGTCACCATTCCTTTGCACCTCTTTGTTTCCTTCTGTAGCTGGAGGAGACGAGCGGCTCCTCCAGCGTTGGCCCGTGAACTTGCATCCCCCTCCCCCCATAAACACGCACACACACACACACACACACACACACACACACACACACACACGCAC